AAATAATACATGACAACTGAAGAAAAAGTAGAGCAAAAAGGAAAGAGTAACAAAAGGACAGCTTCTGCATCTTACTGCTGGACATTGTGTCATCACACCAGCTACTGTTATCTGAAAAATAAAATCCAGGTACACGCACAAAAAGTATACATACAAAGAAACCAATGGTACCATTATGATAGGGAATATGCTTGTGCCAGTATCTGCTTCTGCAATTAAATACATTAATACCAAAGAAAAAGATACATAAGCAGACCAACAGTAACACAGTCTGGATATCGCCGCACCAGTATCTGCATCTGAGAAGAAAGAATGGAAGCCAAACCCACACACACACACACAACCAGACAAGGAGAGAGAGGGATAAAATAGGGCAAGAAAGCCCTGGGCTCTCTTGTGTGTGCGTGTGTGTGCGTGTTCTATGTGTATGTGTGTGGATGTGAAAGTGTGTGTGTGTGTGTGCATATGTACGTGTGTTTGTGCATATATACATGTGTGTGTGTGCGCATGTGTGCGCAAGCCTTTTTTATTGCTTCCCCACACTGGTAAGAGTGGGACATGGAATCATCAACATACACACCGAGGTCTTTCTCATAATCAATTCAATTCAGTTTTATTTATAAAGCGCATTATCACAACATTACAAGAGGCAGAGACAGGCGGGAACACAGGCATGGGGACTCCCTGAACATCAGCACTCTAGTGTAAAGCTAGAGTGACAGCACTGACGCATCAGTTTATCCAGTTAATCAGTTATCTTTATTTCAGTGGAACCCATAATATATTGTGACTCTAATAACTACTTATTGCTTCCTGTCTGTTAACCAGTTTTAAATCCTAATTCCTACAATCCCTGCAGCTTTGATCTTAAGAAAGAGCCATTTGTGGGGGACAACATCAAAGGCCTTCTGGAAATCTAAGTAGACATCAATCAATCACATCATAGGCCTTTTTGTGATCAATTTCTCTTGTAGCTTCCTCAAAGAACTCAAGTAAATTAGTTAAACAGGATCTACCTCTCCTAAATCCATGTTGACTATACCTCAGAATGTTATTTTTAACTGTATTTGACTCTCCCTGCCGGCCCCTGGAAGATGGGCTCCCCCTTTGAGTCTGGTCCCTCCCAAGGTTTCTTCCTTCTAGGGAGTTTTTCCTTGCCACTGTCGCCTATGGCTTACTCACTGGGGGCTTTGGGTGGGGATGCTGTAAAGCGCTTTGGGACAATGTAACGTTGTGATAATGCGCTATACAAAAATAAATTTGTTGTTGTTGTTGTTATTTGAATCCAAGTAATCTACCATTTTCACTTGGATTATAGCTTCCATTACTTTTCCAGTTATGCAAGTTAAACTGATTGGCCTATAGTTTGCTGGATTACTTCTATCCTCTTTTTTTAAATATGGGCATTATATTAGCATGCTTCCAAGCTTCAAAGCCAATGCACCAGTGAAATCAAGTTCTCCTTATTCCTTAGTCTCACATACCGACACAATGTGTGACATTCCACAAAGTGTGAGTTTTCACTTGCTGAAAAGTATAATTTCATGTGGTCAATTTAGAGAATATTATATCATGACCGTAAACAGTATCCTAGCATGCAATATCAGATTTTTACCAGACTTGTGTCTTTTGTTTGTTTGTAGTTTAATTGCCTCTCAGAAAAAGAATATTGCTATGGATCTACCATAATATTATAAAGCTTTTAAAGTGGTTTGACCAGTTTGTGTTTCTTGTTTGTTTGCTCCATATCTGCTAAAATATAAAGCAACAATACACAACAACAGCATGTTCGTGGAGGCAGCCATGTTTGTTCTAAGATGTAGCTGGAACCAGTGATTGGTGGGATGTGACGTGACACACCTCGGAATTTACAACTTCAGAGAGATAATCGAATGCATCGTAGAAAATTAAACGTCTCTATGGAGCTAAATATACGGATATTATCAATAAAATATATGACTATATAGAGAAATATGGATTTTTAATCTATTAAAACATTCCAGTGAAACTATTTTCATCAAGCTAAGTACATGGTTATAATCAATAAAACCAGTGGCTATCGAGCTGAATATACTGCAGCACCAGCACGATACCTCCACGTAGTGGAGCTAATTAACATTTCAACACATGCTCTGGGGGCATTGTAAATAGCCCCTGTATGTGTTATTGTAAATACTTGTGTTGTATCCCTATTGTCATGCGTCCTTGCCTGTGTCATATATGAATCCTGTCCGATTCTCGCATGTCTTTAGCCATTGTGGAAACTACCCACTGTTTGTGTGTCTTTTTGTCTGACATCTGACCTCCCTGCGTTTCCCCTTCATGTGTGTCGGTGGTTGTTTGGTGATTGTGACTGGTCCTTTTTAGGGCTGCAAATAAAAGAGTGCTCTTCCCCCTAAAGCAATTTAGTCCCAGCATCATTATAACTATCTATCTCTAACAACAGTATAAACAATTTTAAAGTTTTTTTCAGGTCCAGAATATCTATGATATGATTTGAGGTCATTCACAATGTCACAACTGCAGTGCATATAATACCGAGCTGCATGATTTTGGAACTAAGTGTAGAAATTAAAAATTATATCTGGAAAGAATATAATAACAACAAAATAATTAGCAAATTATTACAAAGCTGGAAATGTAATACTGGGCAACATACATGGTTTACAGTTTACATTTTTTTCATCTGGACTGGTAATTGATCTGAAAGCAATGTACAATTAATTTACTACTGTGAATTATACACTTAAAATTATCAATAATACTATCCACTGGATTCTCAACAGTCTTCAAGGATCTGAAGGGCATGAAGGTACACCAGCGTCTTTCGTCTTGTGATTATTCCAGTACTCTCTGAGCCATCCCAAACCAGCCTCAGTTGTACCTGAAGTAACAAAAATGACACAGCTTCAGTTCCATCTCATCTTTGCATCTAATTTATGGATGTACTCAATTTTTTATTATTCGCACACTAGACTGCTACTGTTAATGTCTGTTTTGTTTTTTAAATCTAAAATTCTAATGTTTGGATAAATCTGCTTTCAGTTAATCACAAAAGATTATATAGACTAAAATTAACACATCTGAACTTCCATAAAACACTTCTATTTTAATGTGTTATTTAATTAGTAATCCTAGGATAAAGGTCATTAAAAATGTCTTATCAGTACCGTGACCATACTGCAGCCAATGTACTTCCTTCCATACCTGCTTGTCCTATGCAGGGCTGCAGAAGCTATAGGCGAAAGGCAGGGAGTAACCCAGGATGGGGTGGCAAGCAATAGCAGGGCACACACGCCATTCACACCTCAGGTAAATTGGAATACCCAGAGGAAACCACACAGGGAGGATAGGCAAACTCCACACATGTAGGAGACTCGAACCCCGGTCCCAGAAGTGTGAAGCAAGAGTACTAACCACTGTACAACCATGCCTCCCCTTGTATCTTATGTTCAGTGCTAAAATGATAATTTGACTCTGGAGACATAAAACCACTCACTGTTTGGTTTATATTCACATCCAATGTAGCCTTTATATCCAACTGTTTCCAGCAGGTCAAAGAGGTAGGGGAAGTTCACCTCTCCGGAGCTGTCTGGCTCGTTACGATCAGGAACTTGGGCAATCTGCACGTGACCTGAACCGAAATGTAATTTTTCATTACGTGTAAAAAGTCCCAAAAGCTTAACGAACTAACTGCACCAATAATTAGCATTAGCTGCATAAGGAAATTAATTTTTTTTGTGTATTAGTCCTGCTGCTAATTTTGCTTATATTAACCTCACAATTTACATGAGTGATTTCACTTACCTATTATAGGGAAATACTTCTGGATGTTTTGAGTTAAGTTGCCATCCATTATCTGCCAATGGAAGATGTCCTGTAAGAAGAGATTGGACGAATGATGTAACAAGCCTTAAAAACTAAGGGGCACTTGCAGTCTTTCCAAACTGTAATTCTTGGGCAAGTTACTTGTCAGGCCCATTATGAGATTAAATAAATTGTCTTTCAATTTTTCATAGTGATGGACATATGATTATTTCTATTATAAGTGTGTCCAATGCCTCGGGTTCCAGAATCACCTGGGAAACCTTTGGAAATACCCAGAGAAAATCAAAGTAGAGACAGGTCAGCTGGTGTCTAATCCACAGCCCTAGAAATTCAAGATCACAAAGCTACCAGTTGATCCACAACACAGAGCCCATGGAAGGCAAAATACATAAAAACACACTAAATTATTGCTTTCCAGTGGCATTGCGTAAAAGAAATCTTGAATAAGGAAAACAAGGGATTACTCACAGTTCACATAAAGAAAGATATCACATACTATTTAGAATCTTACTACAGTAAAATCCCATTATAGTGGACTCGCTTATAACGGAATATCGTCTATAACAGACAAGGTCCACTGGTCCCGGCCATGCGCCTTTAAGGACATGCAGAAAAAGCATCGGATATAGCGGACTCACATATAACGGATAAACAATTTGGTCCCCGGGGCCGCTTTTAGCTGTAGTTCTGTTCGGCTATAACGGACATGCAGGCTCCGCCTACAAGGCGCGCGGCATGCAGGTGATATCCAGCGCAGATACCTAGTCGGGATTATTAATAGTCACGCATCTGGTCAGGTAAAGTTGGATTACTACATGTATAATATAATAATCTATACCACAAGTGTGTCTGCCGGATATAACGGACTTCAGATATAACGGACTGTTTTTCCAGTTCCCTTGAAGTCCGTTATAACGGGATTTTACTGTATTATAAACATTTTGGTACGTTTCACTTACCATCTGCAATTTCATGTTTGAGTGGCCAACTTTATGCAGAATTGCAGCAGCTAGGAACATATAAAATACAATACCCTCGATTTTACCCTCAAAATTCATAAAAAGTCATTTGGAGGGTGATCATCATAACTTGTAAAGAAACTTAATGAATGTATAAAATGGTTCTCATTATTATACTTTTTAAAATTAATATAAAATATAACATCCGTGAGCAGCTTAAAAGAACAACTGAGAAATTTACCCTGGTGGGGAGTATCCAGGAAGTACTGTGGGTCTGTTATCCTGGTATTAATTGGCTCAATCAAGCCAAGAATTCCTTCCTATAAACCAGACCACAAAATATCCTCTGACAATATTCATAAATGTGTTTTCACATAATAGATCATTACTGTTCAATCTTATCTGTCACTGCTGTTTCTAATAAAAATTATTAAATAAACTCATTAATTTCACAATCTGCTACCCGAATATTCTGGATCAGTAACCTTTGAAAGGACATCTGCTGCAAATTTCAGATTGTCTATGAAGGTAGCCTCCATCTCCATGGCAATGCAAGCTCGGTCCATGCCTGGAGGCACTCTACCCGCCATCAAGTGGATCCTGGAGAGATGGCAGTCACAATAACAAACAAACACTACAAGACGTGGGCAGATGTGGATCTTCATTTTCTTTCATTTAAAATTGTTATTCCTTGTGGTATGCTATACAAAAAATTAAGACTGCAACTATAGAATACTTACATATTAGAATATTTGGTTTTTGCACAAGATTACCACTAATGATGTTTTTCAAATGCTCCCATACGTCCAAGCTTTTTGTGGACTCTCGAGCAGTGCAATGATGCCTGTCTTAACTGTATTGCCATCATCGTTTCTGTTGACCTACTCGTATGTTATTTGTGTGCTATTGGCACCACGCCACAGTCAGAATACAAACTGCATATGAATTTTTGTTATTAACCAGTTAACTGAATGCAAATTTTTCTCCTTGAATCTTTTTTATATTACATTTTTTTAAAATATTTATTACAGCATTACACAAAATATGCAATATGAACTCAATATGAACAACCCTGAACAGAGATAATGAATGAAAATAAATATGCTAAAAAGCCATTAACAATAAACAACAGTAACGAAATCTGAACACAAGCTATGTGTGTGTGTATGTGTGTGTGTTGCCATGAAATGATGTGCTACAACTCCTCTCAATAATTTCCACGGTGCCCTGCAAGACTAAACACCTCCCTCTCGAAACACTGGCAACACCAACACAACTCTCAGTGTCTTATCATGGAAGGTCTTCCAAATCACATTAGAATCAGCAGTGACACCCAAGTCAGCAAGTTCCTCTCACAAACTGCATGCAAATTCATTAAAAACAGCCAGATCTTGGAGTCTGGCCAGGTCCAGTCTCATCCTCCCAGTAGGTGGTAGCCTGCTGGAGCTAAGCTGGATCTTCAGTATATCAACGACAAATCTTTGGTCAGAATTCACAAGTTACGCACTTCTGTAGACCCTGCAGTTCTGTAGGAGCCTCCAGCTTCTGCCCACAAGCATGCGATTGATCTCCTTCACTGCACAACCAGTGTCACAGTCCAACAATGTGGCTCAGGGCACTGGAACCAGGATCCAGCAACCTGAAGACCCTGACCTTTTGCAAGGTCAAGGAACCTGCGAGCCACTTTTACCATGGTCGCCAGACCTGTTGGAATTCCACACTCAAAAAGTAACTAACAAACTTTTAAACCATGATTAACTAATTAAGATCAGTCCATGATGCCTGTTTGGGAATCTGACCATTTATTGTTCTTTTCTATTGAATAACTGACTCAGTACTACTGCAACAGACATGCAAAGGTTGTTGGATAAACCATATATACATACATACAAGTGTTTACCTGCTGCAGTCCAGGGCCTTTGCCAACATCACTGCACTCTCCAAGCCCCGTCTGAACTCTGCCTGCCTGCCAGGGACAGCACCCAGACCGAGTTCCCCAGCCTTAATGTTACCTGAAAACATTAATGATTTGAAGATATTCACATGTGTTATCCCAATATGTACAACACATTACCCCCTAACTACCCAGCTTATTTAAGAATACAGTAAAACCTTGGATTGCGAGTAACTTAGTCTGCAAGTGTTTTGCGAGACAAGCAAAAATTTTTAATAAATTCTTAATTCGATAAACGAGCGAGGTCTTGCAATACGAGTATTACGTATACGCTTTGTCTGCCTAGCGTCACGTGATCACAACTGAGCCGAAGGTTTTTCTCTCTTTCTCTATCACTGCGGGATTGTGGGTAATCTATTCTCATGCTCAGTCTCGGTCTGTGTGCCTCACTCATATAGTCAAAATTTAGTAGAAAAGCACCACCCGAATAAGGCTGTAGCAGTGTGAGCGATGAATCTGTTTAAAGACAATGCAATGTCACATTTCCACGAAATTGAAAAGGAGGCAAAAGCAACTGTCACTGGATAGGTTCCTTGTTAAAGTCGCACAAAAAGAAAAAGATTCCATGGAGCCAACAAATAGCAGTAATTCCGTTAATCATAGTGAAAGTCGTCCTACAAAATAACCCTCCTCTTCTCCTCTCTCTCGTCTATCTCACACCATTCACGATTCTTTTCAAAGGTAAAGTGTAGGTTCATTTTTTATGCATTTCTGTTTGAATTTTATGTATATGTTTGATATATTTTGTATTAATCATTTTTATAAGAATATTTTTGGGTTGTGGAACGAATTATCTGAGTTTCCATTATTTCATATGAGAAAAGCACGTTTCCGGAACAAATTAGGCTCGCAAACCAAGGTACCACTGTATTAAAGAATATCCCATAAAACAAAATGTTTTCAATCAGTATAACAAATAAACAAAACTGCAATTAAACACATACACCTCAAATGAAAACCCAAAATAGCTACTATAAGTTATTGCATAATATTCTGGCTGTTGTATTTGGAAAAAAAATATCACCTATTACCTAGACTAAATCTGAAAGTAAAAAATGTACAATATATTCGGGTAAAGACCCATAAGTAACACCATGAAACATCATGTTATCTAAACATATTTATTTGAGACTTTAAAAATACACTGTATAGACAAAAGTACAGTATTGGGACACCTCTCAATCATTGAATTCAGCACTTTCATTCAGACCCATGGCCATAAGTATGTACAATTAAGCACCTAGACATTGCAGTCAGGTTTACAAACATTTCTAAAAAAATGGGTCGTTCTGAAGAGTTCAAAATTACACATGAACAAATCGCATAATAATCCCATTGATGAAATGTATTTGTCTGACCTGTTGCACCTGAACACGTGTGTGGCGAATAAACAAACCAGAAAATATGAACCAGTAATGTAACCGTAATGACTTAAACCTTTAATCCGCCACACGGTCAGTTTATAAACTTCTATTTTAAAATAAAAGATATAATTTCCCCCAAGCAAACATGTCTGCAGGTTACTCACTGGTTTCCTTACCAGGAGGAGTGTTAATGACCACGACCCGGAGTCCAGTTCGCCGCTTGGCTTCTTTTAGCTCGTTTATATCCGCATCGTAAATCCAAGCTGCCTCCACAGCCTGAAACCCAGCCGCCGCTGCTGCATACATGCGCTGTGGGAATCCTTGCAATTCCGTGAACATCCATGACAAATTAGCGCAAAACTTTAAAGACGACATTTTATGCTTAGATCTCCAAGCTATCTCGCATAAGCTGAAGTAATTTAGTTATAGACAGGAGAACTAACGGAAACATACAACTTCTCAGGAGCAGTCATGTGCCATACCGTTTTATTTACACAATACGTCCCTGAACATGATGTCAGCACGCGGAAACAGTTTCCGGCGTTAAAATATCAATATAAAAGTCCTTGTTATACGGTCCTCCAACGTTAAAAGCTGCATAAAGCTGCTCCAGGAACCAGGCCTAGGGGGTGAAGCTCATGAGCAATCACCTGATGGTCGCATCTGTACACATGGGGTCTGTCTAGGCATAGCCCAAAAGGGTAACATGGGTCTACCCTCCTGTGCCCTCAAGATGGGCCATGGGGGTGAGGTGCAGTGTAGCTCTAGTGGGATCGATCATCGGCAACCAATGATATGTGGGTGGGTCAATTAAAATAACATTTAAGCATATTAGTTAAAAAACAGGTTGAGCCTCATTTTGTATTTTAAATTTAGCAGTTTGACTTACTGTGGGGTTGAAAATAATTGCCGAGTTTGGGTCGCTCGTGAAATGGACCCACACATCACTGTACACTCACCTAAAGGATTATTAGGAACACCATACTAATATGGTGTTTGACCCCCTTTCGCCTTCAGAACTGCCTGAACGTGGCATTGATTCAACAAGGTGCTGAAAGCATTCTTTAGAAATGTTGGCCCATATTGATAGGATAGCATCTTGCAGTTGATGGAGATTTGTGGG